ACCTTTTTTATTTATAATTTCTTGCTATTGATTGTTTGGCGTAGCAACTAGCAATCAACAATAAAAGATGACGTAGGCTATTTGGATTTCTTCCAGTACTTTTTCTAATGAGTTATTAAAAACTGGACTGTGTATTTAAGAAGCTTACTTATTTCTGCCGCCAAGCAGTAATACTCACGTTAATGCGTTATTGTTTTGAAGGATAAGGGTGCTTTTGAAATTTCAGCCACATGGGACTTGTTTACTTATGTCTCAGAGTGATGGGTGCAGTGCCCCTCTGATCGTTGTGATTTAAAGCGCTGAGAGGCACTGCAACTGTTATGGACTGGCGTGTCGCTTACCACCAGGCGCACGACTTGTTCGTGTTGTCACTTGGAATCATAAAAAAAATAAACACAGGAAAATTCCTCGACTGGACTGGAACTAGCGACTGTTGCCTCAACGTGGCTACCGCTCTGCTAGTCGAGCGAGCATATCTTACGAATTTCTCCATGTGCAACAAGCAAGAAGTGGATCTTTGTATTTTCATATTTGTACAATTTTTTTTTCAAGATGGAGTAAAATCATGTTTGCAGCGGTGCCATTTTTCTCCGCTGCATACGCAGTCCGCAGAATACGTGAGCTTATCGACGATTTTACTGCTAGAATAGTTTACTTTAGTTACTTCCACAGTATAATCTTTTATGGGATTCTCATGTGGAGTATAGCGGCAGATATACAAACCATATTTCTATTGCAAAAACGAGCGCTTCGTTCTGTGTACCGGTTATATGCTCGGGTTACTCTCATAGAAAAGTTTAATAAGGAGACTGGTATCACGTAGCATCACAGTATATTTACTCAAATATTTTATATTCCCGTAAAAATAACCATTTTATTAAGATGGAAGATATCCATAATATTAACCTTAGAACTAAGGTTATCCAAACTCATTGTTCACTCAAGAGCACGTCAAGCTTGACACTTTGTACTTTCGACCGTTCTTATCGTAAGCGGCATAGAGTTGCATTTAAGGATTTGCAAAGCTTGACGTGCTCTTGACCCTGTACCACGATTTCGTTTAACTAGGGCATCGAGTATATAACCAGAAATAGAGATGAAATAAGGGCCACATGTTCCTGGTAACACATTAGCGATACAGCTCTTGTAAATATTTCTCTTATAAGAATTATAGACAAGCCAACTACTGACCTGTATGTACGTCTCCGTATATTCCAAAAAATATTCTGTATTTATTGTAATAAAGATAATATCTCTAACAATGCCTTGTTGTTCTATTCGGTGGTGTGGGAAAAACAGCAAAACATCTAATTACAAAACAAACTGAATCAAATTTCATCGGTAATTAAATATTAACTATGTAATTTTGCAATTTTCGTCCATTATAGCAAAGCTCAAGTTAACTGGTCGATTGAAGTGAAACAGTTGAAGACATTCGGGCTGGCCAATCGCAGCGCTTTTGTCACAGCAATGATATGGCAGAATAGTTTTCAAACAAATTAAATGACATTTCGTCTCTATTTCTGGTTATATACTCGATGAACTAGGGTAAACGATTTTTTTATGGGGAACCGTATACGATTTTACAATAAGATTCAAGCATATATTTATATTACCATTTCCTAAGTTTAAAACTTACTATTATATTCTATTTTTAAGTTTCTGGCTTCTCTTGAGTAATTTTGCCAATGTCAAGTCAGTCATGGGAGTTACACTTTTTTTAATGTTTAATTAATTGACACTGCTCTTTAGTCTATTCCGGCTTCTGGAACAATTCAAAATATCACGATATACCATCACCATTACAGATATATTAATATGAGTAAATTATGTTTATAATTTAAATTTGTTAGTACTAATAAAATCAGATATTAATTCTAAGAGGGTACCCGAAAAAACAGATAATAGAATCTTGAAATTTACGGGGCGAGAAATAGAAGGTGGAACACTATCATAGATGGAGCATGTTCTAGTAGGGCAGCTGAAAAATATGTGGTCTGGGGTGCCTTTATCCAGGCTACATTCACAAATTGAACTATCCAGGCATGACCAATACGAAGTCGGCATACTGTAGTTTAAAATTTACATTAAAAGTATTTTAATTGCAAAGTCGTATTGCGAAATTGAAGACTACGCGTTAGACAAAGACGTATGGAAGGACGACATGATTCTAGATTACACAGAAATTTGATTAAAAGTGTATTCCATAGCATTTAAGTTTGAAAATAGCAATCCCTAGTTTTTTGCTCGGGAAGTCAGCACAACGAACGAGCAGTGGCTTAAAATATGACGTCATCAAGTGTAAATTTATTTTACCTGTAGACTAAACGATTATAGGATTTCGACTTTTCGAAATATTGTAAATACATAGTCACGTGGTATTTGTCGACAGTTTTATCGATGATTTTGAAAGGAGGTAAAATTTTGCAGAAATGCATTAATAACGAATGTTATGACGTTCCCATGAGTAATAAATACATTATCGCCTCCTTTTTTCTTGATTTCAGAGTTGATTCATTAGTATCGAAATCAATTCGTGGAGTACTTCTGCCGTCAAGCAGTTTCAGCATTACTGTGTTGTGTTTTGACGGGAAGCATGCTGGTGAAATTATAGGCACGACTGTCATGAGACTTGTCTACGTATGTCTCAGGGTGACAGGTGCAGTGGCAGTGCCCCTCAGACCTTTGCGATTTAAAGCTCTGAGTGGCACTGCAACTGTTATGGACAGGCGTGTAGCTTACCATCAGGCGCACGACTTGTTTGTCCCGTCACTTGATATTACATTAAAAACAAGTACACAAGCACGATGTTAAGGTGTGTACGGGCGTGCTCGCGCCACATATTTATAAAATAATTTTTTTTTTGTCATATAAATTAAATTATAAAATCAAAATTCGAAGCTATAAAATCATTAAATCAAAATTTAAATACAATCAAAAATTTAAAATCAAAATACTTTTCAAATCAGTATAAGAATGATTTAAAATAGAATTAAAAGTATACAAATTTTGAAGTTATAATGTAAAAAATTGGCTTATTAGAATGTTGTTGTATAACAGGCGAGGTGATTTAAAATCAAAATCAAAATCAAAATAATCTTTATTTCATAGGTAAGCATTATTACACTTGAAATCGTCACAATGGTTAAACTCTACCGCTCATTCGTAAGGCAGATTCCCCTGAGAAGAATGAGCAAGAAACTCTAGGGGTTGCTCTTTGTAAATAACATTTACAATATTTTTTTATTTGAAACATCAGATTGAGACTACCTCCATGAGCTAAACGGGTTACTACCACGGATTTTTGTCATCCAAGTACGCAGAAGTTGTATAATAACCTTTAGTATAAAGTTTTTGTTTCACTATAGTTTTAAACCTCGTGAAAGGCAAATTTTGTATATCAACCGGAATCTTGTTATAGAAGCGTATACATTGCCCCTTAAATGATGTTTTGACTTTGTGAAGACGACTATCAAGAAAAGCTAGTTTATTTCTATTCCTCGTATTAATGTTATGTCTGTCACTATTTTTCATAAATAAATTACTATTCCTTTTAACATAAATTACATTTTCATAAATGTACTGTGAGGCTAGTGTAAGAATGTTAATTTCCTTAAACTTATCTCTCAAAGATACTTTGGGGCCCAGATTGTAAATTGCCCTAACTGCACGTTTCTGCAGGACAAAGATTCTATTGATATCGGCGGCATTACCCCAAAGCAAAATGCCGTATGTCATTAGACTGTGAAAGTAGCTGAAGTAAACCAATCTAGCGGTTTCGACGTCTGAAAGTTTCCTTATTTTTTTAATCGCGTACACTGCAGAGCTGAGCCGTTTTGACAACTTACTTATATGGGGACCCCATTGCAATTTAGCATCTAACGTTATACCTAGAAATACAACTGTATCCACAAGATTCAATTTTTCGTTTCTAACTACAATGTTTGTAACCGTCTCTCTAACATTGGGTAATGTAAATTTCACACAATTTGTTTTTTTCTCATTAAGAAGTAGGTTATTAACAGCAAACCAATCAACTACTTTAGATATAGCATTGTTCACATCGTCATAGGAACATTGGTGCCTTTTAACTTTAAATAATAAGGAAGTATCATCAGCAAACAATACTATCTCATGTTTTATACCCTCCATAAGGCTAGGTAAATCATTAATATAAACTAAAAACAAAAATGGGCCTAGAATTGAACCTTGAGGGACACCCATGCTAATTACAGACCCTGACGATCTCGTACCGTTAACATCGACCCTCTGTACCCTACCACGCAAATACGATTTAAGAAGGTCGAGATCACGTCCCGCCACACCATAATGGCGAAGTTTCCTGACCAGTGTATCATGGTGCACACAATCAAAAGCCTTGGAAAGGTCACAGAATACACCAATAGCATCATGTGAGACTTCCCATGCATCAAATATATGATTAATCAACTCTACACCAGCGTCGGTTGTAGAGCGACCCCGAGTGAAACCAAATTGTTTAGGAGACATTAAATTATTACTATAAAAATGTGCACACATCTGATTTAGAATAATTTTTTCAAATATTTTACTGAGAGTTGGTAGTATTGATATAGGTCTGAAATTGGTGGGGTCAGAAATACTACCAGATTTGAAAAGTGGAATAACTTTACTTTGCTTCATGAGGTCAGGAAAGACACCATCATCAACACATTTATTAAAGACACAGGCTAAGTAAGGCGCAATACAATCAACTATAGAACTAATTACTCTGACTGAAAGACCATCAAGATCAGCAGTATTTTTTATATTTATAGACTTAAAGGCCTTAACAATATCGTTTGGATATATTTATTTTAACCTATTACGTCGCTATTATACTATGTACAATTTCGTTATAAAACTTCACTTCCATTCCATTACATGTTGAGTGTGTGCGTTATTATTATTATTATTACAATAAATTTGGCGCTGGGATGAAGCCCATGGCTTAAATTTTTGAATGTTGTTTTGTTTTGCAGATGGGCCACCGGGGCTCCGGCAGCGGCTCGTCATCGTCGTCGTGGTCGGGCGCCCGCGGCGGACGTCCGCGCCGTCCTGCGCGCCCGCATCGCGCCACGCGACGACGTCCCATCACGAAGGGAAAAGAGGTAACTACAACGAAGTGGAATATTTAAGGCACAAAAAGGAGAAGGTTCTACATTCTACACTCGAATATGACAAACATGTCACTGACCCGACCATAGACGGTTTAGTGATGGCCAATTGTAATGCCAACTACAAATCGAACAGACAAGTACCATGGAAAGAAAGAAAGAAACGTTTATTCAGCTTAAGAGGCAGCAGAGGAAAAATTCCTAATCTTCGATTTGATTTTAGAGTGGTATATCCACTTTAAAGTTAAAAATAAAATATTGTATGAGTAACTACACGATGCATTCAAGCATAGACACTAATCAGAAACATAAAACAATAAAGTTTCCTCGATAGATAAATATCACGAAATGACCTCTAATTTTCACATTTTTTCGATTTATCCTCGAAATGCTAAAGGTTATTAGGACAAAAATTAGATAATTAATTATATTTATGCATGATCGACAACTGTCACTACGGATTTTTTTAAATCCCTTTAGTTTTAGAGTTATTCTGCTAAAACGAATTTGGTACTTTAATGCGCAAAATTCAAGATCCGTTGCATGTCACGCGAACTTCAGGCATATTTGTTCCAAAAATTTAGCGGAGTCAACACTTTTCAAAACTTTGTCAAAACTTTTTTGGCATGAGAATTCTTAAGATAATTCAAGATAAACAGATAATTCACATTAATTATTACGTAGACCTATAAGCTGAAACGGATCCAACTCAGCATATGTTACAGCTCGCCTGCTGTAACGCTGGTTTTCAGTTGGAACCGCTTTTACAAAATGAGATGGTACGTAAGTACAAGTGTGATAAACACTAAAATTATAAAATGCAACTTAAATATTAACTAAAAACAATTAGAAAAATTACTAATAGGAACTATTACATGACTGTATATAAAATACTACACTTCTCAGGGATTATTACATGAATTGAATATTTTTGGAATATACTGAGACGTACACACAGGTCAGTTGTTGGGGCTGTATTATTTCAGCTTTCTAATTTGTCATTTCAGCTCAAACGGGAATTGATATTTAAAAGTGTTATAAGGCCCATTTGACTGATGAGTTGTCAGGGTTGGATGGCCCTTATTTCGTCTGTATTTCTGGTTATATACTCGATGTGTTATACTACGGTACTAGGAAGAAGAGCCGAGCGAGAACAGCGTTATACGCTGGTCATAATGGACATAACTAGGTCTTGTGTGCAACAATATTGCAACGAGTGCTCCAGTCGAATGATTGAAGACTTCCTCTGTGAAAATTGTCGCCCACTTTGATTGTGTTCACCGCGGAGTATCTCTTTATTGATCGCTATGACAAGAATCTGCACTGTATCGGTACACGTCCCGTCGACTGGTCTCCTTTAAGGAGACCGTTTAAGAATCTAATGCTTGGAATTTTAATTTTTACTTTTAACTATTGTGTGCGGGTTAGTATTTAGATTTTAACTCAAAAAAATTTTGCAGAGCTCCTTGTGAAAGAGTCCAGGGAAGTACTGCCACCAAATAGATACATTTCTTCAAATAACAGGCACATGAGACTTGTCAACTTATGTCTCAGGGTGACGGGCGCAGTGGCAGTGTCTCTCGGATCTTTGTGATTAAAAGATCGTGAAATGAAATGAAATTTTATTTGCTTAAAACATGGTGTGAAAGATGGAACATTTATTACAGAACACATGTTTTACCTGACTAGGCATGCAAAATGTTGCTTAAATTTAGTTTAATTATAGCATTGCCATCAGACGTGTACAAGGAATAATAATAATAATAATCAATTAATTAATTAATAACAACAGAATAATAAACTATCAATGCCAAATTATTAAATATCATACATCATGATTACATTAAACATACCTTATAATTTCATGTCGATATCCAATAATCAACAAAGAATAATCAGTCAATTAAAAACAACAAAATAAAACTTTCTATGTCAACTATTAAATATTACATTAAGCACTAATTTCATGTAAACATTTATCTAAAAACTCAGTCGCTTTGTAATAATTTTTGTCTCTAAGCCATTCACTAAGTCTGTTTCTGAGCAAATTATTTGGTAACGTTTGAATGTCTTTTGGTAGAGCATTATAAATTCGGACACACATACCGTTACATTGATTTTTGTAATAACACAATCTAGGTTTATTATTATACACCAGTCTGATGTAATTTATCTACCAGTGACTCGACGTGTTGTGACCAGTTGCAATTACTGTCTATTTCCACGCCTAAGAATGTTGTAGAGCCTGCCTCCTGAATATTGACATCCTTGTAATTTATGTTAAGGTTCATTTTTATTTGTCGATTTGTACCAAATTAAATGAATTAAGTTTTAGTCAAGTTAACAGTCAAATTATTAAGTTTAAGCCAATTTATTATTACATGTATTGAATTGTTTATGTCTAATTCGTAGTCTTAGAATAATAACACATAGAATTATAGTTTCATATCAAACGAACTGTCACAAGTGAGGCAAAAATCAAATTCATGTAGGCTAGTTTTAGTAGTAGTAGGTTAATTTTCGGTTTTAGTGAATGTTTATATAAAAATACAAGTTGAAACGCGTTACTTCCTTGTGGAGTGTTATGTTAGTATCTATTTTATGTTTGTCTGACGTATTTTTACACTCATTTACCGCACATTTCGTCATTTTTAGCTAAAATTCTTGATCAGTTCGCGGTGCAAGTTGACCTTGAGCACTGAAGGCCCGCCCGCTCGTGTAGGCCCTTTTGGCGCGCTTCAATTTGCCTCACTTAGCGTGTGCGGACTAGGTTTCTATGCGTTATTATTCTAAGTATGTAGGTAATTATGTCATTTTGTGACTGGCACTGCAAGTGATATGGACTGACGTGTCGCTTACCAACTACCAACTCGTCACTTAGTATACTTGTTATTGTTCAGAAAATAACTTTTTTTTTTATAAAAAAACCGACTTCAAAAGTTCGTGGAATTTATTTGCCAAATTTTATTGAAGCCGTTTGCTGGAAAGTGCGCGAAAACGGATTCATCTAGTGATGAAAGAGACTCAGTCTTTTAAGGCGTTCTATAACGACTCGACTCCATTTTACAGGACTCAACTCTAAAATTAAGACTGGGGGGTACGAGTTTTTATTAATAAGACTCAGTCGTTGTACTTAAAGACTCAAAAGACTTAAACGACTTGAAAGACTCAAATGACTCAAGTTGTTTGCAAAGGACTTATACCTATTTTATGTCTTATTAAATCCGAAGTTTATAAATAAAAATGACGTAAGTAGTATGTAGTAAATAATCACGTTTATTTACTTATAATAAAGATCGTAAAGTAAATACCTTGTGGATAGAAATAAAATCACGCCATACGGCTCACGACACGCGACTCCCGAGGCCTGTCGTTTTAGTCCTGTAAGTCTTTTAATCTTCCTAGGGTTATAAGACTTCGACTCGAATTAGTTTTCAGTTTTAGTCCTATGACTCAAGACTTGAGGGTTCAAAGACTAGTCGTGAGGCGTTGAAAGTTAGTCGAGGTTTTTTAAAAGGCCTTAAAAGACTGAGTCTCTTTCATTCATCCCCTAGTTTGCCATCCTTAGAGGTGGAATATTTTCTTCAAATTTAAATGGGACCAATACTGAGGTACCCTATTTGCAACAAAAAATAATCATGAAAATTGGTTCACAAATGCGTATATAAAAAAAATACAATCAAATTGAGAACCTCTTTTTGAAGTCGGTTAAAAAATATCCACTCTGCTTGTGCCCCCGGTACATCAACGTATGGTCCGCAGATGATAGTCCGTCGCACCGTAGCTGCACGTCGAGCGGGTGTAGGCGCGGCGAGGCGCACGCGCCCGCTCTCCGACGCCTCCGACGTGGGCGCAGACTCTGACTCCGACGACCAGTGGACCGAGCTCGATGACGCATGTATGTATACATTGTCAAATTTATTATTCCAAATACAATTTAAGGTTTCTATCGATAGCGCTCACGTACTTTGTTGTAAAACACAAATTAGCATTTTCACCTCACTAGCTCGGAAAAGCGTTCTTTCCACGCCAGTGTGGAAAAGGTTTTTAAAATTCGAACTTGACGATGGACTGTGGTGCACCTAACTTTTTCTTCCGATGAAAAAAAAACATAATGACACTTTCAACTACGCGACTTGTCGTACGTTATATGTAATATATATAAATCTGTTAGTATATTTTTACTCATATTGTTGTTGACTCACACGCCCACATACACACACACTATGAAAGGAAGACAATAGACATTTAATATACATTAATTAATTTGCAGCCGGCTCGTCGGACAGCTCGTCGCTGAAGGAAGCTGCCGCCGCTGTTGACCTTGACTGCAATTACCATCATAAGGGGGTAAATCTTTATTGCAGTTATGCCGTATGATGTATTGTAACATAAAGCGTTGTTACACGGCCACTGGCCAGAGCCACTGCTCTGCATTGTCTTCTTGTACATGTCTTCGAATAGTTAGGTAGTTGTTAGTTATTTGAGACAATCAACTTCGATACTCCCTTACCGCTAAAGTAAGGGTGTTCCATGACTTTTAATAATTAATCAGAGTATACTTTCATACAAAAATAAAAATATTTAAATCGATAGCTCTAAACAACGATAACTCTGCGTTAACAGTTGGGTGACGTTGCTCGCTGGGATGGAAGGATGTAAATGTTGATCCAATCAAAATAATAAGGTTTCTAACTTTCGCGAGGTAAACCCAAATACCATTTCGGCGCAACCAATTATGATTATGCTTAGTTGGTATAGCGTCTGGCACGGTATGCTAGAAGACGTCGGTTCGAATCCGGCCGGATCAAAGGAATTTTTTCTGAGTGTTCTGTCTTTGTATTAATAATTATAACAAACTAGTGGAGTAATATCACTTAAAAATAATTGAATTTTCAATTCAATATAAATTTGAATACAGTGAATAGCGACATCTTTAGCCGGGACTGGTTGCTGTAAAGGATTTTTTTTCTGAGTGTTCGATCTTTGTATTAATAATTATAACAATTATGATTAGTTCACCTATACCACATAGAACACCCGACCTGAACAATATGTGAATATTTTCCAAATTGGTGCGATCAATAATCGAATCAGGTACCTCCTTAACCATCGGAGGCACTGGGCACGTAGAAATGACGTGTCTCTTTGTCACCAGGGTGTAGAAGCCCCCGCGATGGGTCAGTTTCTACTGCCACTGCTGCACGCGGATGCGCCTAGCGACCACTTTCTCATCCGCCATGATGACATTCTCCAGGTAATTATTATAGGACAGTCAACATGAAAACGTAAGCGTTTTCTCATCTTAGGTTGCGTACAGATCTGGCATTCGGCGCTGTAAACAAATAAATACATGTATACCAGTGGGGCCAGTACTACGCTATAGTATTGACGCCTACTTGTATAAATAAATAGATAAGTTAAGTTGTAAAAGGTTTATTGGTAAAGATACAAGCTAATTGAGGCTGTGTTTCTCTTACTCTCATTTGATTGAATATTCGTTAAACACGCTCCAATGTAATTCCAAAGCTTCTAGACGTATTCTTAGATAGTCTTGTGTCTTCCTTTCCTTCCCGTCTTTCTCGTAGTTAACGAGAATCGTCCTTATGTTCTCGAAGCACAGATTTTCTGAAGAAGAGATTTAGTAAACCAAAGCCACCTTGGCGTAAGTTGGTAAGCTTCACTAGTTGATAGAGAGATCAAGTGTGTGCTAATTCACTGCGATATGTACGCCTTCTCAGTGTAGTTGGTGAGACCCGCTTGTGGGAGGCCAACTACACTGATTCGTTACCAAAGGGACCAACATAACGCTAACAATCCGGCTCGAAGGACCAAAACGTACTTTTGTAAAGATCCATGAGTCGCTGGTTCAGATCCGGCTCGAAGGACCTAAATGTCTGATTGTAGTGGTAGTACGCAGAGAAAGACTTGCAAAGACAATGGTAAAAGTATATTGTACGTAAAATACAGATACTGTGGTGGCAAATTTTTCCTTGATATTGTGTAATGTTGGACAGTTAGTAACGTACTACCTGAAATAAAGTGTGAATCACGTCTTTAAGGTAAGTGCGACACATGGCTAAAGTAGATCGCCGCAGAGTTTTACCGAAGAATGTATGAGACCATACAACATGTTAATATATTTGGCACCACGTAACGCACGTGTGTAGCTCGCGACGCGCGTTTTTACGGTGTATTCGCCAGATCTGTACGCATCCTTAGTATTACAATGTGCAACAAAACTAGGCGATATTTTTATCGCACGGTCCCACAACACGTAGCAATATTTTAATAAATCAATATTACACAACATCGCATATCGTCGCCTTACTTTCTCAAACTCGTATCTTAAAGCACAAAGTTACTGAAATGCAAAAAATGCATTGTATACCGACTGTGAACTGGCAACCGGTATTATCCGAATTTTTTAAAGATTTCGAGAATCGAGATTTTAAGAATCGACTTCATTCAACTTGTACTAATTTCTAACCAGATGCTTTATAAATTGTCAAAATTGAGATAGTACCGGTTGCCAGTTGCCGATTTCACATCACATTTCCTTCATATTCCTTGCATCCAAATTAACCCTCTTATAATAATAATAATTATAATAAATGTAAAAAGGTTTGCCATCTTCTGAATAATCACTCTTTATAAGAGTTTGAGGAAGTAAGGCATCAATATGTTGCTCTGATCCCAAATTAAGTAACTATGGTCTGTCTTTTTGAAGACAAGAGTAAAATGACATTTGCAGGGTTGCCATTTTCATTCAATTTTAAATAGGCATGTAGTTGTTGCCGACAGTTTTATCGATAGATTGTGAAAGAAGATAAAGGTTGCCAATAGTGGCTGAATTATGATTGTTATGTCGTTTTAATGACTACTAATTGCGTTATTGCCATCTTTATTCTTATTTTGACAGTTGACCGACTACAACCGAAATAAATTTTTATTCATATACATTTTAACAAGAATAAACAGATTTGATTATTTAAATTGAACTAAAATGAAAAACGTTGTTTATTATCTCCTCTTTGTATTTTTCATAGACATCGTTCTGAATACAGTGCATAAGTAAAATTTATTTGTACGTAAAACCAAATACAGTTCAATTACAGATAACAGTCATAGAAGTCAGAATATATTATATTACACATTATGGAACACGTATGTTTAAGACATGTACTTTTAAACTTTATCTAAACCGTTTACACTGGCTCGTACACTAGGCAAAGCCTGTCTCGTAGGTAACCAATTCTAGGAAGGATGTACAATATACATTATGTAAATGAACCTGTGCTCAGTAATTGGACGAATGTAGGCTGAGGACTATTTTTCTGCTATTTATTACATAAGCGTGACCAATATTCAATCGATAGTCGATAGAATGTTTGTCGACTGCAATCACTAACTGCTCGCAAGCGGGCAACACTTTTACACTATGAACTGTCATTGTACCCCGTCTTCAAAAAGACAGACTATAAAGCATGTTATGGAAATCGGAAATAACGACGGTACCACAAACGCACCGACCCGAGACAATATAGATTATATACGGTCCATTTTAAATTGTTTTCAAACGAATTTCATTAATTATTCACTACATCTAAAGCAGGTTTTCTTAACATGTGGTCCATGGACCAATGAAGAGTCCGTGTTATGAACGCCGGAGGGTCCATGGCGCGCCTACCTAACGTAATGAATTAATATAAAGATTTATATACAATTGTTGTGAGTAAATAGGTACAGAGCGCGTTACTTTGACGGCCGTCCATTATTGGAGCCAGCGAGACGCGCGTCAAAGCAACCAGCGAGACTTTCTTCTTCATTTTTTCGGAAAGAATCTATGGGCTGTTTGAAATCTTGAGAGGGGTCCATGATTGGAAAAAAGTTAAGAAACTTTCATCTAAAGGCATGTTTGTTTGCGTGTTTCAGTTACTGGCGTCTGCGGAAGAGAGCGTGCGCGAGGAAATACCACTCGACGACGACGCCCTTGACACACCGGTGGACGGGTGAGTATTAAATAAATATTTTTTCTCAAACATACTCGGAAATGTTTGCATTACTTTCAAAAAACGAACACGGAAAGTTTGTCATTTATGGACCTTCCCGGCCAAGGTCTGCAAAAGAAGTATAAAAATCCATTACTCTCCTCTTTTCTAAACTCTTAAATCTACCTACTAATAATGAACTATGTAAACAGGCAAAAGAAAAACTCATACAGCCAACTGCCTAGTGTTTATAATTGCGAGAATTAAAAATACCTACCTGTACCGTTTACTTAAAAAAAGAAAAAGAAAATGGCGGTAACATTTAAACTATGCTTTGGTATTCTTTTGTTTTTTCGTCTTTTTTATATTTAGGTAGCGAAAATGAGTGCTAATGAGAAGAGCGATAACGAAAATACAGTCTCTTTAGTCTTTTATTATTTCCTCGCATTGTTTGAGAAAAATTCTATACATGCCTCGGCCGGAACGGGGATTGCTTGACTCGTATTACAAGGTCTCAAGGTTTGTTTTTTACCGGAGTGCATTAGACATGAGTGCCGATCGTAAAATTATCGGCGGTGGTAGTGTCTGCTAGAGTTGGGTAGTAAATAACGTCACGATGAATAAATCACAATGATCAGCCGTCAAATAGTATCGCCCTTAGAATAATAACGCATAGAAACCTAGTCCGCACACGCTAAGTGAGGCAAATTGAAGCACGCCAAAAGGGCCTACACGAGCGGGCGGGCCTTCAGCGCTCAAGGTCAACTTGCACCGCGAACAGATCAAGAATTTTAGCTAAAAATGACGAAATGTGCGGTAAATGAGTGTAAAAATACGCCAGACAAACATAAAATAGATGCTAACATCACATTCCACAACCCACTACTTACACTACTAACCCACTACTAAAACTAACCTACATGAATTCGATTTTTGCCTCACTTGTGACAGTTCGTTTGATATGAAACTATCATTCTATGCGTTATTATTGTAAGGTATCACCGTGACTTTTTACGAAGGAACGACGTTCCAAAATAACATAGGTTGTACCTCCGTTCCGCTAACTGTTTCCGTCATATTTTACGAACAAATTCATCTCCGTTCAGTAGAGACTGGCGTGGTTCGCTTTTATTTTTAAATTCTAATTATGAACCAAGAAATAATTGCATCAGTATTGTACAAAATAGATCCAAAAAAAAAAAAAATGTAATTAAAGTTTTGTACACAGAACTACAATGAGTATTAGGCGATTATCACATTGCACCGCGCCCCGCGACGGAACGCGGAGCTGCGTTTTTTAACATTGTACTGAAGTACGTCAGTTTGGAAAACACGCGCCGTCGAACACACTGACGACGCTTTTCCGCCCCCGCGCGGAGGGTCGCGGTGAACCGCAGGGGTATGACACACTGCACTCCGCACTACCGCGCAGATTTTTAAGCTCAAGGACATGTTCAGTTTTCTACAATAGATCTCGACTTCGATAAATTTATATTTGCTATTGAAAATCGACCAAATTTATCTTCATATTTTCGTAAATCTTTGTAATGAAGTTGAAATTATCCATTTATCGATCTGGTTCGTAAAAAGAGATGTATCCAATATCTTCGGTGTCTTTTTATTTGAGTAAACAAAAACCAATTAGACAGTATAACTGCAGCGTCCTGAATGAGTTCTGTATTATTAACCATTCATGTCTAAGAAGGATCTCGGCTACATAATACAATCACTACGGCGATCAACTGCGAAGCGAGTACTTTAAGTGACGCGGGGCCGCTAGACCGCTGCCCCCGCGCAGATTAAACCTCGCGTTGACGCAGATTTGCGTCTCCGCCATCGCGCACGTGATTCCACGTCCCGCGCTCCGTTGCAGGGCGCAGTGCAGTTTGATGATCGCCTTATAGTACTGTAAAGTACTATAAAGAGTTTAAAATTATTAGTTAAAATATGTGCCGTACTTGGCCAGTTCTATTCTATGTCTTTGGTTTTTTATTTTGTAGCGTTTGTTTGTTTGGCTTTCGTCTAAATATATGAAGAGGCTGTATGGTGTAATCTTTGCCTATCGTAATAAATGGGTCGAAATTTATTTAAAAAAAATTGCGTTTGTTGTCGTGGATTGTTTACAAAATATAATATATTAAATGTTGGTTCTGGTTCATTATTTTATTTAATCGTACAAAAAGTATTGTATGCAATCATTACATAAGTAGGTCTTAAAATCTCAAACTTATTACTTAGGCCAATCGGTAAAACCTCGTGGACTACACACGGTATTCGATTTTAAGAACCCTCATTATGCAACGATTACATAAAATATTATTGTTTATTGTCATTCCCTGACCAAGTTTTATCGTTTAAACCACTGTTTTTACTAATTAATCTATCATACTTTTATTGCACACACTCATAGCTCCGCACTAGAGTAAGCCTGTATTGTGGGTGCCTTGGACACTCATAGACAACCACAAATTACAACCAAAGTCACGAGAGAAATAAATGTAGGCCTTATAAATATTTCTCCCGGCCCGGAAATGGAACCCGTCGCCTCTGCGTGGCAGTGGTAACCACTCGGCCAGAGATGTAGTTATAGACTTTATTGCAATGTTGCAGTTTACACAACTGTTTCTACCAATAATGGATTAAAGACAACACACAAATTATCCTAATAAAAATAAACATAAATAATAAATATGATATGGTGACACATCATATTGAAGATGAGAGAGAATATATTATTAATATATTATTATTATTATTATCAGAGCGGAGGGCAGCGAGTTTCCTTGCGACGACGACCCTCCGGTCACTCCTGAAGAGGAGGCGGCTCTATTGCACTATGTCTGCCGTGAGTACAAATTTACATTTGTCTTATCAATTTGTGTTATATATTTAACCCTTGACGCAAAAGCGGGGAGATGTTTTCTTGGCTAAGATCCGTGTTCGAAACCACTCCCTGTGCGAGTGCATATTGCAGAGTGAAGGATTAATATTTTATTATTAATATCTTTACTTCTACACTATAATATTAGTAAGATAGGCTAAAACGGATATCTTTCTTCTTCTTCTTCCCCTTCTTCCTCTTCTTTATCTACTTCTTCTTCTTCCTCTTCTTCCTCTTCTTTATCTACTTCTTCTTCTTCCTCTTCTTCCTCCTCTTCTTCCTCTTCCTCCTCCTCCTCCTCTTCCTCTTCCTCTTCTTCTTCTTCTTCTTCTTCTTCTTCTTCTTCTTATTCGTCTTCTTCGTCTTTTTCGTCTTCCTCTTCTTCCTCTTCTTCTTCGTCTTCTTCTTCGCCTTCTTCGTCTTCTTCTTCTTCGTATTCGTCTTCTTACTCTTCGTCTTCTTCTTCGTCTTCTTCTTCTTCGTCTTCTTCTTCGTTTTCTTCGCGCAGAGTAAAAAAGCTTTTTATTGGTAACACCATTTCATTAAACACTACTCCACTTAGGCAGTCAATCTCAATATCTACATTCAAAAGACATATTTACAGTCACAGTTACATTATCAACTTTCGTTTGCGCCGAAATCACAAAGTAGAAGCTGAAATAGTACAGCGCCAACAACTGACCTGCATGTACATCTCCATATATTCCAAAAATATTCGATATTTATCATAATAAACATAATATATGTAACAATGGGGCGCTGTTCCATGCGGTGGAATGGGAAAAACAACAAAACGTCTAATTACAAACCAAACGGAATTACGTTTCATCGGTAATTAAACATTAAATATGTAATTTTTCAATTTTCGTCCATTATAGCAAAGCTCAAGTTTTGCTGGTCTTTTTGAAGTGAAACAATTGACGACACCCGTCAATTATTTCGAATTCGGGCTGGCCAAGCGGCGCGCAGTTGTCACCGTAATGATTTGGCAGAATAGTTTTGAAACGGATTAAACGACATTTCGTTTCTATTTCTGGTTACATATACTCGATGGTGTATAGTGACTCAATTTAACGAATAAACGTTTTCTTTCTAATGTTTTATATTATTTTATATTTATAGTATGTCTAATTGCAGAAGCAGAACGTACGGCATGTACGGAGGAGGTCCTGGAATCTGACCAGCTGGAACCGGTGGAAGAATGGCTGTTAGGGGTATATCACTCGTGGTGTGAGATTTCTGCGCTCATGTACACGCTTATTGGAACCAACATGTGAGTTCCTATATTACGTTGTTATCTTACACGGTCCACATCTAGTTTCCAGCTCATTGCTCGCAAGGGAATTTGCCTTATTGAATAATAGAGTTGTGTGACGGTTTCAAGTGTAATTTGCGTACCTATGAAATAAAATAAGTGACTGATGCTTAGTAACAGGGATACCTAAGTTCTGCAAGAAATGTGTATTTTCATGCGAAAACCATCAATGGCGTTTAGAAAGTAAAAAATAGCGAATGTATTTCAAAATTTGTATTTGAAATTTCACTTTAGTAGCGGTGGAGCTCCTTGTGAAAGAGTTCGTCCAGAGAAGTACTGCCACCTTACCTATTTCTGCCGCCAAGCAGTAGTGTGAGCACTACTGCATTCTGGTTATAAAGGGTAAGGATGGTGGTGAAATTACAGCCACATGGGTCTTTTTTATTATATCAATTGACAGGACGAACATGTCATGCGCCTGATGGTAAGCTACACGCCTGTGCATAACAATTGCAGTGCCACTCAGAGCTTTAAATCGCAAAGATCTAAAGGCCACTGCCACTGCGCCCGTCACTCTTGAGACATAGGTTGACAAGTCCCATAGTAGTAGGAGCTCTATTGCTGCAAAAAACTTGTCAGTGCCCTTCAGACCTTTGTTGTTTTTAAGCTCGTGAGTGGCATTGCACCTGTTATGGACAGGCGTTTCGGTTGCCACCAGGCGCACGACTTAGTCCTTGGTCCATTATAAAAATCTGGTGCGTTCCTTCGCCGGTGACGTGAGACGTGTGTACTTGCAGCGGCGGTCAGGGGTCGTGGTCGTACCGCGCCCGCTTCGGCTGCCACTGCCGCCTGTGCCTGTCGCTGTGCGCCAACGCGCAGCCGCTGCACCGCGCGCTCAAGCGGCTTGTCGCCAACCTCGCGCACGGTACGTTCGGGGCCGGACTACACTTCTAAACTTTCGCTCTGCATTACACCACGGACCATTATTGGTCCATGCTATATGTACATATACAAGATCAACATAATTAATTAAACTAATAAATAATTGAATGAAACTAACAATGTCAAGTGTGTACAGGAAATGTCAATATGGATTCTTAATAACTAATAAATGTATATTAAACATAATAATACGGTGAATGTCAAATTCATTAGTAAATATAATAATTATTTGTTAAGTACTTTGAGTGTATTCTGATACTGAGTAAAGGGAATTTTCCAATAAAAAGTTTACAGAAGATAGTTATAATAATACGTCTGTAGTGATTCCAAGACTGGATCGACTGAGGGTCGTATTCTAGAACTCTACTCAATGCTCAAGTCAGGATTTGAGTATGGTTTAAAGCACTCGAAATCATACTCAAGTTATTACCCATTAGGGTCTTATTTCCAGTGCTTGTGTTTCAATTGCAATCCTGACTTGAGCATTGAGTAGAGTTCTAGAATACGACCCTAAGACTTAGTAATAATGTAATAATTTGTTGATACGCAATACGATTATTGGTTGTATTCAACCAATGATTTATGAGCAACGTATTTGTGAGTAATTTTTAGGCAGGTTTGGGCACGCGTTTAATGTGCAAATTTATAGAAGATAGGTCTATCCTATAGGTCTGTCCTGCCTGTCCCCAATTACGTCAATTTTTAATGTACTTACGTGATTTCCCGAATCCCAAACAGGTCCAGGACCTAAAAAATACTGTCGTAAAGCAGTCTCCATTTTCTGTCTATGTTCCTCGAAGGTTAGGTAAAAAAACTCTGTCTATTCCGATCCCTGATTATAAAATAAGTGTATATTTATTTCATTGTGTTGAGAAAATAAACCATTATTATATGAAAAAGAATAATGGGCCGATTATGATTGAAATGAAACTAGTTCGACTGTTTATTGCGTAAGGGCGACCAACATCGATAGAATATTTATCGACTGCAATCAATAGCTGCTTGTAAGCGGGCAACACTATCACGCAATTAACTGTCATTTTACTCCCATCTTCAAAAAAGACGGTTTGTAAATGATTAACGATTTATGCTGTACACAGGATCAGACACAAGTAACGCAGCGGTGGCCATTGTGCGTGCATTGCGACTGCACACGGACACGCCTCTCGACTCTAATAACTGGGATCTTAACAGATTGCAGAGGATACAAATGTCTGACGAAGGTAAGATGTTATAAACGCAGTTTAAAATAAGTATTTAGTAGCAGTAGAGCACCTATTTCTGCCACCAAGCTGTAGTATGAGCATTACTGCATTCCGGTTTTGAAAGGTACGGGTGCTGGTGAAATTACAGGCATTTGGGACTTGTCAACTTATGTCTCAGGGTGTCGGGCGTAGTGGTAGTGCCCCACAGATCTTTCTGATTTATAGCTCTTGAGTGGTACTGCAAATGCTTTGGACAGACGTGTCGCTTACAATCAGGCGCACGACTTGTTCGTCCTGTCACTTAGTTATTATAAAATAAAATTTAAAAAGTATCAAGAATTGAAGTCTCCATTCAGCGACTGTGGCTGTAAAGGTACCTCTCCGAGTGAATAAACAAATTTCTCACAGATGGCGCTACGGATAAAAGGTCGTTAAAAAACCAAATGCAAAGATCTGCAAGAAGCACATTGAAAGATTCCTAACCAGCGGATCTGCTGGTTCGTTCCGTGGCTTCATTGTCGGACCATCTGGCACGGATTGCCTGAGGGTGCTAGTACGAATCCAGCCTGATCGAATGAATTTTTTTTCTAAGTATTCGATCTTTGTTATAACTAATGGAGTTATTTCACAAAAACTAATTGAATATCATGGTAGTAAAACGTCGTGACATTTAATAAACTTAAAATGTACCAAGAAACATGGTCAAACATGTTCAGATGAGAAAGAGCGCGTTTCCATTATGTCGTAACGTTTTATTTATCGTTGGATGACTGTCGCGTTTAGCCTGTTCCCAAATAACAACTACCCGTCGTGACTGTGTCGTGGACGTTTATTTTATCGTTGATCGACTGTCGTATCTAGCTGTTCCCACTAGATCGTGATAACAATTTATCGTTTTACCGCAGCCGCTTTGTCGTTGGCACGATATAATCGTTTGAAGCTGTGATTATCTGTCGTCACATTTTTATCGTGACGTTTTATTTATCGTCTGCCGACAGTCGTTCTAGCCCTTCTCATTGTCACGACAATCTATTTACGTAACGTCGAAAAAGTCGTGAACTGTTGTATTATATGTGAACACTCCATTTAAATATACAAGACAGGACACTTTAAACTGCACGACTATCTGCAGTCACGACGTAATGAGAACGCGCCCTTACAGTAACATAAAAAATATTAGACAGTCCCTTATCTTTCTAAATAAGTTTTGTATTTGTTTTTATATTGACCCTGCTTACTAACGCTTTGGCTATACGGGAAGGGCACTATATCCTGTGCAAACACAGGGGACCTTATAAGTTCACATCCTGAACCCAAATCAGCCCGTGAACAGGGTTGTCACACACCGTCGTCATGAACTTTATCCGGTTACCAAAAGGCTAGTGCCTTGAGTGAACTTTGCACCTGGGTGCATGAACAGACGTACAGCACCCTCCATATTGACCACATTGGTACCGGAGCTGTTGTTGTTCAGCTCCCGTGGTGCATTGTACAACTAACGGTTGCCACCTCTAAGTCGTTGACTCTAAAGTACACTACCAAATATCCTCTTTGGGATGGGAACTAACAAGTGTATGCCAGGCCGAATATACTATTCATTGTAACAATAATGCATATCCATTAATGTTCCTTCGCAGGTCTATCGGTAGTACACACGCAGCTACAGCACTTAGCAGCTGGCAGCGAGACGGCTCAGCAGCTGGTCCAGTCCGTCTGTCAGTGCCGGGAATTCAATAGGCCTATGGAGAAACAGTACGTATTTGATGTTAGAAAATTAGTCCCTTTTCATAATATAAGCATTCAAAATCGCTATAGCGAAGTACGTTTGTATGATAGAAATGTTGTTTATATATACTAATTCTGATGTATTATTTTGCAGATACGCAATGGAAAGGCTGTGTAAGATCTTGGAGAACTTCAAGACTGCTTCTACTATCTCTTTTAAGGTAAGTTTTTGTATCAAGTTTACATAAACTACGACAAATGGATCAAAAAATATAGTGGAAACCTTTACTAAATAATATACAATTCAAAAGAATAATATATTTTTTTTTTTTACCTTTTATAACACCCAACGCAAAAATAGGGGAGTTATAATGATGTAGTCTAGGCTCTACTCTATGAGTAGAATTGCTGGCTGAATATAGGTAGTGATTATAGTTTTATATTTAGAATGTTAAGAAAACAGAAGATCTTGACATATTAGATTATTGATTGTAACCTGAAAGTATAAACTATGTAAAAAAGTGAAATAAACCAAAGTTCTTAAGATGATCCCGGTTTATATTATTAGAAGTACCTCTCGCTACGCAATCTGAGTTACCCCCTATTACAAGTGCGTGCGTGCGTGCGTGCGTGCGTGCGTGCGTGCGTGCGTGCGTG